AATAGTGCTTGAACGATATTGTTTTTTTGCTGATGCTGATATCGTAGGGAGCAGGGGGCCAATGGCTGATATACTGTATATACCCTAACAGACAAACGTTTTTGAACAGTAAGATTTTTAATGTTTTTTAAGGAAGTCTCTTCTGCTCACCAAGCCTGCATTTATTTGATCTAAAATACAGCAAAAGCGGTAATATTGTGAAATATTTTTACTATTTAAAATAGCTGTATTCTATGTGAATATGTTAAATGTATTTCTGTGATGCGCAGCTGTATTTTCAGCATCATTCCTCCAGTCTTCAGTGTCACATGATCTTCAGAAATCATTCTAATATGCTGATTTGCTGCTCAAGAAACATTTCTGATTATTATTATTATGTTGAAAACAGCGGAGTATATTTTTTTCAAATTACTTTGACAAATAGAAAGTTTAGAAGAACAGCATGTATCTGAAATAGAAATCTTTTGTAACATTATAAATGTCTTTATCATCACTTTTGATCAATTTAAAGCATCTTTGCTAAACAAAAGTATTAATTTCTATCATTTCTTTCACCCCAAAAAATTATACTGACTCCAATGGATGGACGGACGGACGGCTGGACGGATGGACGGACGGACGGACGGACGGCTGGACGGATAGATGGATGGACGGACGGACGGACGGACGGATGACTGGATGGATGGCTGGACGGATGGACGGATGGCTGGACGGATGGACGGATGACTGGATGGATGGATGGATGGATGGATGGATGGCTGGACGGATGGACGGACGGACGGATGACTGGATGGATGGCTGGACGGATGGACGGATGACTGGATGGATGGATGGATGGATGGATAGACGGACGGATGGACGGACGGATGACTGGATGGACGGCTGGACGGATGGATGGATGGCTGGACGGATGGATGGATGACTGGATGGATGGATGGATGGATGGACGGATGGATGGATGGCTGGACGGATGGATGGATGACTGGATGGATGGATGGATGGATGACTGGATGGATGGATGGATGGATGGATGGACGGATGGACGGATGGATGGATGGATGGACGGATGGATGGATAGATAGAACTAATGATGGACGGACGGACGGACGGATGGATGGACGAATGGATAGATGGATAGATAGAACTAATGATGGATGGATGGATGGATGGATGGATGGATGGATAGATAGAACTAATGATGGACGGACGGATGGATGGATGGATGGACGGATGGATGGATGGATGGATGGATGGATGGATAGATAGAACTAATGATGGACGGACGGACACACAGATAGATAGATAGATAGATAGATAGATAGATAGATAGATAGATAGATAGATAGATAGATAGATAGATAGATAGATAAATGATAGATAGATAGAGTATTTATTTTAATTAATATTTAAGAAGTTTTAAATCATTTGAAAATGAATTTAAAAATAAATGTCAAATAAACATACTTATAATAACTTCTTGATTCTGTAAACCTATTACCGTATTTTTCACAAATAAAGAAATATTAAAATATATATATAATAAAAAGCAAGTAAACACTGTAACCAACAAGTCACGCAATAATTCACAAATAGGTAAGAAGAAAAGTTCCGAACTCTCTATTTTCTCTGAAAGCGACAGCGGCCTCATCTCTTCTTCCTGCAAGAGTCCCGAACAGGACTGAACTCATCGAGATCTGAATGAAGGACACAGAGGGAGGAGAATCTGCTTTGCTCGTGCAGCAGCAGGTAATGGAAAGCGCGAGCGTGAAAGTGAGCTCTCTCATATGCAGCGCTGCCTCGGCTAACAAGCGTTTAGCTGACAATGGGTTAAAGCCACAGGTTTGACGTCTCTCAACTTTCTCAGCTCACACATACTTTCGTTGGACCTAATTGCTCCCTGAGGGACCAATCCTGTGGTCAGATGGGCCCGGTGCATGCTGGGTAACCCTCGCCTCTCCAGAATATAGATCCATATGAGCAGTATTCACCATTCTGGGCTAAATAACACGAGCGCTCGTCATCACAGCAGAGCTCACGGTTGATCCTGTTATTCTTCAGAAGAGATGAAAAACAATGTCTCAAGTCCCACGACACAAAGTCAATCTCATTATCCCAAATATTTCAAACACTCAGGATTAAAATGGGAGATGAAGAACTACAAAACATGTCAAAGCAAATAAAACCACATTTAAAATATGACAAAACTATTATATTATATATAATAAAAATATACAAAATAAATATTTAAAAAGTCATCTTCATGCTTCTTCAGTAAATCACGTACGGCTAGAAAAGTCATGAAAAGTCCATTTTAAATTTCAAATATCAACATTGGCTACCAGAAATCACTTACTCTGCCTTTAATCTCTAAAAAACCTCTGTAATTGTGAGATTGAATTAAAAGAAACTAGGACTCCCTGCAGATTCAAATACGTTGGGAAAACAGAGCAGAGGAAACAAATGATGGAGAGAGAGAGCTTTGGATATTGCTGTGGACAGTGGAGGACCTTAAGAGTCAAAAAGATTGAGATTCACTGCTTTAAAAAGAAGGCGATCAATGGATTTTCCTGCTGTTATCCTCTCATGTTTCTCGTGTTTTCAGTAAACTCATGCTCTCCAAATGTCCTCTACTGATGATGAAAGCACCTTCAATCTGACATCAGCACTGCGGCCAGCCGAAACTACACCACACACACGCACATTCACACACTTCAAAGGAGAATTAAGGAGTTAAAAATAAATAATGAAGTTTCCAGCATTGTGCAGAGGTGAGAGGATCCTCTCTCAAGAGCCCAGAAGTGATCCTATGTTGTTAAATACCAACTAAAACTGGGATCTTTTTGCGGTAGATTTCTGTGTCATTCCCACTGAGGAGCCTCAGCTGCTTCATTTAATAAGCAATTACAAATGTAATGAAGCAAAAATTAGTGTTAAAAATGAGCGTCATGCAATACATGATCAAATGTAATTCATGGGAACAAAATCGTCTCAGGTTACCCATGTAACCATGGTTCCCTGAGAAGGGGAACGAGACACTGCGTCCCCTAAAGTGTCCTCTAGGGGACGCAGTGTGAGTTCCCATTCGATAGGGAACGTCTCAGGTTACCCATGTAACCATGGTTCCCTGAGAAGGGAAACGAGACACTGCGTCCCCTAGAGGACACTTTAGGGGACGCAGTGTGAGTTCCCATTCGATAGGGAAGCAAGTATATGCTGTTATCATCTTGCTGCTGCATCTATATGTGCACATGTAAATAAATGTGTGTGTGTTACCTTACAAGTGTATGTTCGGGTCTTTCTGATTTTTTTTCTTGAAAGAAATTATTACTTCTATTCATAAAGCATGCATTAAATTGATCAAAAGTGACAGTAAAGACATTTATAATGTTACAAATCATTTATATTTCAAATAAATGCTGTTATTATCTGTGAATCCTGAAAAAATAAAATGTATCACGGTTTCCACAAAAATATTGTGCAGCACAACTGTTTTCAACATTGATAATAATCAGAAATGTTTCTTGGGCAGCAAATCAGCATATTAGAATGATTTCTGAAGATCATGTGACACTGAAGACTGGAGTAATGATACTGAAAATTCAGCTTTGATCACATAAATAAATTACATTTCAACAGATATTTACATAAAAAATACTATTTTAAATCATAATAACATTTCACTATTTTTACAGTATTTCTGATCAAATAAATAGCCTTGGTGAGCAGAACAGACTTATTTCACTGACCTCAAACTTCTGAATGTCAATGTAATTACACTCAAGAAACTTGTTTGCAAACTTAAGCTAGCACAAACTTACAAACTTTAGCAAATCCAGCCATGTTTTTGTTTTTGTTTCTGTGAAGATGTTTCACCTCGAATCTTGTGCACTGGTCCCTAGTGAGTGTGACCTTGCCTGCGGGTCTGTCCTGTTGTGCCACACACACACACATACACACACACCTGTCCCTCACTCCCTCACTCACTCACTCCCTCACTCACTCACTCACTCACTCACTCACTCACTCACTCACTCACTCACTCACTCACTCACACACACACACACAAACAAACATACACACACACCTGTTTGCCACAGTCTCTCTCATTATGTCCAGTCATCAGTGAATCACTGGCCCCTAATGGCCTAATGTGACTGTAGGACTGCAGCAGATGCATAACAGAGCTCGCATTAAAAGCCCTCGCGATCCCTGGAGGAAACTGACATTCATGGGGAAAAAAGAAAGTTCGAAGAAAATTGGATGGAAATTGGCTTCTCCAGACCACACAGAGGGGGAGAGATGAATGCGGAGGTCGCATCCCAGCATGCACTTGGGCGGCCAGAGCTGAGAGGGACGGTATCATTAGAGGAGGTAGATCATGCATCACAATCTCTGAAGGTCTGGATAAAGCCAGTGTTGCATGGCCCGCTTCAAGACCTCCGGACATCACTGCAGCGCTTCTTCAGAGGACAAAACGAGTGGAAGGAGTCGGTCTTATCTTACACTTTCTCCAGCTGCAGATATTGAGAGAAAATCCCTGTAAAAAGCCACAGCTTATCAGAGCTTTTGTTTGGAGAGGAGAGCAGAGGTCGGCTGGTCTTATCAGGCACAAAAACACTTAGAAGATCAACACCTCACACTGATTAAACAGAGAACAATAGATACTCTGAAACTACAAGATATTCATTATATAACAGTTAGAGGTTATGCACGCACACTCAAATTAGTTTGTAAACACCAGACTGACAAAAACAACTGGATGCTTTCATATGTTAAAACATCTCGTCAAAACCAGAAAACTAAGTCTGTGGGTTATACAGTAAAGTACTTTGCTGGGCTCTCAGATGAATGGAAACACTGACTGATTCAGAGCGAGTTCATGGGGAAAGAGTGTGATTTTCTTCATTAGGCTTCACTTTAGGTGAGAGGATTTAATCAGGACACCAGAGACACCAGCAGCTCAATCAATCAACTAAATCAATTAACGGATCAATACTTACCTCTCCATCTCATACTCTTTCATGCCCGGCTTCACACGTTTCATCACCTACAAGGAATCACACACAGTAACCAGATAAGAGCGCTTTACAAAATATTCAATTAGTCATCCACCTCAGACAGCAGCCGAGGGCTTCCCTTCTCTCTCCAGATAAAGTCTAATAATCTCAATGAACTCTCGCCGGCAGGCAACGAGAGCCGCAGACACCGAAAATGACCAGCAATTGCCTTCAAATTACAGAAAGACTCATCCATTTGATGAGATAACAGTCATTTGCGGCGCAGCGGAGAGAAATGAGGGAGAGCGAGTGTCGAGGGCTGTTTGATGATTGCAGGTTAGGAAGCTTTTATTTCAATCGAGAATCGTGAGTCACACCGTACAGCAGCGCTGAAGGATCCCCGGGAGATTGCGGAGATCAGGTTGTTGCAGATAATGTTAGTATGTTGGGTGACAGAGGTAAAATGATGCTTGTAGGAGTTAAACAGTGCTAGTATATACTACCATTCAAAAGTTTAGTGTCAGTAAGACATTCTTTTTTTAAAGAATTGAATACATTTATTCAGGAAAGGAGGCATTATGATCAAAAGTGACAGAAAAAATATTTTCTTTTTACTTTCTATTTGTCAAGGAATCCCCCCCCCCCAAAAAGTCACCGTTTCAACAATAATGAAACGTTTTGTGGACGTTCACGTAAATTTAGTTGCAGTGTTTTGTTCTGCAGAGATTATTGTAAAATACTGCATCCTTTCAATTTCGCTCTACAAAGAAATTAATACTTTTATTCAGCAAGAAGCACTAAATTGATCAAAACCGACAGTAAAGGCATTTATAACGTTACAAAAGATATCTACTTCAAATAAACATGGTTAATAATAAGACAAAAGAGCATGAAAGTATGAATTTGAACTTTGTAATCATCAAAGCCTTAAAAATGTATCGTATCATGGTTCTCACAAAAATGTACAAAAAAAGTTTTTGAATATTTATTACAGAATAATAATAATAATTTTTATATATATATATACATAAAATCTGAAATGTTTCTTGAGCAGAAAATCAGCATATTAGAATGATTTCTGAAGATCATGTGACACTGAAGACTGGAGTAATAATGCTGAAAATTCAGCTTTGATCATAGAAATAAATTACATTTTAACAGATATTCACATAGAAAACAGCTATTTTAAATTGTAATAATATTTCAGATTTTTACTGCATTTTTTTAAATCAAATAAATGCAGCCTTGGTGAGCAGAAGAGACTTCTTTCAAAAACATAAAAAAAAAATCTTACAAACCCCAAACCCTGAAAAATTTTAGTTATCTCCTGGGTTTTTTTGCAATTTTAAATTGTAATAATATTTCGAAATAATATAATTTTTACTGTACCATTCTTAGAACAAGAGCGAGCAATAAAGAGCAACAGATGAGCACTTGACTTGTTTTGTGCCGTATTAGACGGTCACGGTCTCCTGAGAAAGGTCACCTGGCGCAGGTGAACGTGACGCGTCTCCGCAGCGCTGGGAGTTTGGCAGGATCGGGAACGAGCGCTGGATTTTAATTACGTCCCGTGAGAGGAAGAAGAGACGGGCGAAGCGAATAGACATGGTCACAGTAACTCCTCATTTGTCCCTCTATGTTCTTCCTGTTCTGAATATAATTGGACTCATTAATTATATAAAAGGGTCCAGTGTGTTCTAAGCTGTCTTCTGTCTGATGCAAAAAACAGGAGGGTTTAAGGCATGCAAAAATAACAAAAAAGCAGGACACACGATCAGAGTCTCTACAAGTGACAAGAAACCCGATGAAATACATAAACTAATTCAGAGCTGCAAGTAGAAATACAACTAAACTGTTCTAGGCTACAAAAAACATCTATTAAAACAAAATCAATGCTGTCAGCACTATTCGGATGGGATTTGTTTTCTAAATGACTCTAAGTGAGTTACAGTTACAGAATCTAATGTAATACGTTCTTGAAGCTCGAATAGAAGACATGATACTCCAATACTATGGTTCGATTATGAGGCATAAACCAATAAAATATATAACCTGCATGCAATGCAAGCTGCTTCGGATAAAAGCATCTGCTATTTGCAACAAATGAAACAAATTATTTTATTAGTGTTTCACTGGATAATTTGATGCTGCTTTCAGCAATGAGTTTCTTTGGCAGCAAAGAAAAGAGCAAAACACTAACTTTAATTTCCGTGTTGAATCTGAAAATTGTGCATAAAGTATGAGAAAGTTTCTAGATTTCTCTAGAAAACCCAAGTTAGCAGATAATTTTCAGTAATATGCAAGAGAAGCACTGACAAAGTATGTTTGCAAAACATACATTTACCATATGATCATTCTACTAAACTAGTCCTGTCTAAATAGGTTTAACGATACTGTTTGGGATAAAATAAACAAATGCATGATTGATTGAGACAACAAATGTCATTTGAATATATATAAAACTGAATTATTTCATGCATCTTTACACTGATGCACAAGACTTTACATTTATGCATGTGGCATTATGCATGTATCCAGAGCGACTTACAGTGCATTAAATCTGTTGACTCTGGCATGGCTAGTGGCATATAAATGCTTAAAACCACATTTACATGTACACATAGTCCATTATTCATAGCTGGACGTTCAAAGGTCAAATAACTGTCGTCCGCTCCTGTCAGTCTCAATAAAACAGTAAAAGTCCTGGACTGAAGCTGAGCTCTTAATCGCTGCTTGACTGAAAATGACCTTCGTCTCAGCTCTCCTCACCGCAAAGACAAAATCAGCATTTACAGTCATTTACATTTCAAACTAGCAAAACCTGCTGCTGTAAGCATCACTGACAGACCACGGCGCATTCAGATGAATCTCACGAAAGCAGTCAAGAACACGTCCAGGTCACATTTCACACCAACAAATAAAGATCGATAATTTGTGTTTAAGTCAATTATATACTGTCCTGTACTTCCCAGACTTCTTTCTTTGTTACTATCTTATCATCTCTGTTTATTTTTTTGGTATATACTTTACAAATAACTGCACAGTCTTTGGAGATGACCTGATTTACATTGCACTGCTGGTTATATATTCTCTATATAACTGTGTACAGGACAAATAAAATCTTGAATATAACATTTTGTGTAAAGAAACTGAAGCCTATTATAATGCCCACTGGGATGAAAATAATTGTAAAAATCTTCTAAAGTACTTAAAAAAAATCCAGCATCTTGAAAAAAAATGTATTCTGCTGACTTGCAAAAAGGCCTTATATTATATATAATATTATAATTTTATGATTTGATGAGTTCAAAAACTAGTTTTGTTTTCCACAAAATAAGATTTAAAAAATGTATTATATAATATATATTTTATATATATTAAAGATGCACCGATACTAAATTTCTCATCCGATACCGATAACCGATTATTCAGAATAATATCTACCGATACAGATACCAATAGTTTAGTTTAGTTTAGTTTAGTTTAGTTTAGGATATAATCAGACCTGATCATCGTCTGTTTTTAAACAATCGGCTAAAGGCAAATAGTGCAAATAATTGCTTTTATCAGCCAATGCTGATTACCGATTATTGGCCGATACATTAGTGCATCTCTAATATATATATATATACACAAGCAGTCAAATGTCAAAAGTTAGTTTAATGACAAAAATAAGTATTCAAAATATGTAATTTAACTTCATCATTAACTTCGAAATCAGGCATAAAGGTATAAAATAAAGTAATACATGTAAAAACAAAAATTACAACAAAAATATCTGTAGTCTGGCTCAGATGTCTTTACTGCAGTTTGTCTGTTGATTAAGAAAAATACAAGACTACTTCACATTACAAATGGTTGTAAAGGCAAAAATGCTACGAAATGCATCATATTTAGTAAGAAAGTGTGACAAGCTCAGGCAAAAAGGCACTATTTTTGGAAACAGCAACCCAAAATTAGTAAGAAACAAGTATTGGATTTCACCCAGCAAATATGATTATGGAGGTGTAATGTGCATTTTAGAGTGAAATACTCATTCAGCCAGAGCTCTGGAGAGAGAAAGAGGAGAAAAATCACCCAGAATCTGTTCTGTTAGTCACAACATCTTCACCCAAACATCCCACCGTGTTAAATCGGGCCGGCAAGCGTTTTAGGCCATGCATGGAACTAAGAAAGAGCAAATAAATTTCTCTGACAACCTCTAAAATGTTAATTAACAAGATATGTTAATGCAGACAAAACAGAACCATGCATAAAAATAAAATGACTAAGTGAAGTCAGAACGCCGCTCAGTTTTGAAGATTCTGATTTCACTCAATGATAATTTTATTAATTCTGGTTTCTATTAATGGATCTTTCTGTATTTCTGAGGAATAAAGATATTTGGAAACACTCTCCTTTCACATCAGCACAAACATAGAGACGTTTCAAATCCATTAACAAAACCGAATGTCATTAAAAATGGAAGTGATTCTGAATATGAACTCATTTGGATTTGGATTCTCAGCCCAATTCTGAACTCTTCCCGCTCTATGGTTTCAAGTGACCGTACAGTGAACTCCTCAAAATCCCTCGTTCCTCATTAAAAAAAAACTATTTGTTTCCATTGTGGCCGTGACTCATGTTCCTCTTAAACCAAATATCCAGCAATAACAGAAGACGAGCGGTTGAGGCTGCGAGACGTTTGTCTACATCAGCTCTGGCTGAGACTGGCACTTATAAAGACCTATGAGCGTTAATATGTGCCGAGGCCTTTATTGCTGGAAACGAGGGATCAAAAGAGCCTCAAAACATGTCCTTCAGACCTTCATCTGAAGATCGACCCGGTCTGCCAAGGTCACTCTAGATTTGATAAGGTGCTGAGGCTATTTCCATTCAATAACGCCAGGATAAACGCTCATTGAGCTTCTTCAATTCCGTCTGCACATGTGGAAGAATCCTGACCACAGCAGAACGAAATCAAATGGAAATCTTTGTATTTTCTACAGTTTTAAAGGAATATTTCACCCACAAATTAAATGGTTCATTATTTATTAATGCTTAAGTCATTCCAGAAATTTAATTCAGCTTTTAGTGACTGTCAAGCTCAAAAAACAACATTTATATTTAGTCATTTAGCAGATGCTTTTATCCAAAGCGACTTACAAATGAGAACGATGGAAGCAATCAAAATCAACAAAAGAGCAATGATACACAAGTGCTATAACAAGTCTCAGTTAGCTTAACACAGTACATGTAGCAAGGGTTTTTTTTAAATCATATAATAAATAAATAGAAAACAGATAGAATAGAAAAAGAATAGCGCAAGCTAGTGTTATAGGTCTGTTTTGCTTTTGTTAATTGTATAATAAATGAAAAGAAATCAGACAGAATACAAAAAGATTAGAAAGCAAGTGTTAGTTTTTTGTGTTAGTTTTTTTTTTTAAAGAAAACAAGCAGCAAATGAATAGA